GTATAAAATGGGTTGTAAAATTAAGAGAATAATGTAAAAAATGTAGAAGAGAATTATCAAAGAAATGAATGATATTGTTGATAATAATTTGTAAATTATAGAGAGTAGAGTAGAGAATGAGATATTGATATTGATAGTAAGTTTGATGGAAAAAAATGTTATAATTAGTGGGTATTTATTGGGGGAGAACATTAGAAAAATGAAGAAAAGAAAAATAAATAAATAAATGTGACCAAACGGTCACTAAATTTTTCAGTGACCGTTTGGTCACATTTTTTTATTATTTTTATGTATACGGCTCGAGCGGCTCATGGCTTGTAATAAAAGACGTCAAGCTCGTGGGCTCGTGGAAACTAGCCGCTCGACGAGCAGCTCGTGAACGACTTGTCTAAATGACGAGCCGAGCAGGCTCGGCTCATCTAGCGAGCCGGCCTACTCGGCTCGTGCTCAGGCTCGTTTTTGGTGAGTCGAGTGACCGAGTTGACGAGCCGCTCGGCTCGATTGCCTCTTCTACTTTGAAACAACATAATTTTTAAAAAATCACTATTAATAGAATGTCATTTACTATAGAATCATTATTAATAAAAAAAAATAAAAATTCCCTACAATAAATTAAGGAGGATAATTTTATTTGATTTTTATTAATAGAATGTCATTTACTATAGGATCATGCTAATTATAAGTTGTGGTATATAAAGAATGTGGGAATAATGAGTGAATTGTAGATCTTACAATATCTATGTAGATAAAAAGCATGTTTAATTAGTCGATTGTACTACATTTACACAATGATTTACATATACATGATGTGGAGAGATATGGATTGATCAGAATTTCTTCAACCAAATAAATAAATAAATAACTTCTCAATTCTCTTTTTGACACATTATCTGTATATAAGTCATTATATAATTCCATTATGTACAAGTATCATTATTCTTAATTAGTTTGTATTATAATTTAAACTTTGTCAAACATGTCTATATCTTATCTTATCTTATCACCTCCAATTCATATTATGTTAGAGCATTCGAAGAGAAATTGTTATTTATAAATAATATTTTGGTTATAATAGAGAGTACCTTTCAACTTAAAAAGTAATTTTTTTTTATATTCCAAAGAACTATTTATTTACATTCTCCAACGATTATTTATAATTTTCGAACATTTTTCAATTTTATATTTTAATAACTAAAATCTTCAATACAACATGAATAATATAAGTAGTAGAGCATCGAAATTAAATATGAAATTCAGTTTTCTTTTGCTCACTTACTTCAATATGACCAAAAAGTATGTGTATTTTCAAGTGCGGTGTTGGAATATGTGGCTATCATCTTGTCTGTGCAGTTTAGGATGATAGGGTAACATTTAAACTGAAAAATTACGAGGAGAAGCACACGATATGGCATGCCAAAACAAAAGGGTTAGTTCAACTTGCATGGCAAGGAAATACATTGAGAAGTTCAATTCCAGTCGAATTTGAAACTTTTCGATTGTCATAAAAAGGTCTTAGTAGAAAGCAAAGTTGACATCTCCATAACAAGGAAAAAATTAAGAGATATCATCGGGGACAGTGCACTAGAGTAGTACAAAATCCTATTTGATTACTGCGAGCAAGTGAAGACGACTAGCCTGGGCAGCACAATTCAATTAGTTGTTAGAATAATTTTATTATGTGGGCTTCCATTTGATTGCGAATTTACGGGTTAGATGTATAGTTTGCAATGATATTGTGATTTAGCTCAATATGTTGGTGATCACTTGGGCCGTTGTACACCTTATTGGCTTTATCAATATAATGTGGTAAGGAAAAATTACCTGGATCCCTGCTTTTAAAAACTAATTTTCATAAATAAGGGGAATTGGTTTTAAATTCATATATCAGGTGTTAATTAAGAATTCTTAATTTAATTAATATAGATTTATTATAAC